GGGGAAGTGCCCCCCCTTGCTTTAAAGGGCCAGCACCCAGCCTGGCAGCCATCCTGCCCGAGCAGGTTGTCAGCACAGCCCACCCCACTGGCCTCCCTGGCCACTTCCCCTGGGCCTAGGAAGGTCCTGGGGTATTTACTGCAGAGCCTCACCTCGCTGATGTGAGTCAAACTCGCTGCAGGATCCCGGGGCGCCTGGCACCCTCCATTCCCCTGCGCATGGTCCCTGGGTGTAACCCTCCATTGCAGGGACTCCCTCCGGCTCCCCCACACCAGGGGCTCTGTCTGCCCCCATTCCCACCCCACCCCAAGGTGCCCTAATCAGTGTTCCCCATCCCCGGCAAAGAACTGCCCTGGAAGTTAGGTAGGGCCCCACTATGCCAAGGAATGGTCAGCAGAGGGCAACCCGCCGCCTCCTACCCCAGCCATGCCAAGGGTGGGGCTTGGGGCAGGGGTGGACAGAGCCTGGGGAGGCTGGGAGGCCAGTCCCTGGACAGGTCTGTCAAGGGCCATTCACAGCCCCAGTCTGGATCCCTGCTGCCTCCATTTGACCACATGCTTCTTGTCTCCTTCCAGAGATGGAGGCGCAGGAAGCCACCCCCAACCCTGCACTGATGGCAGAGGAGCCCGGGGCCACGGCCAAGGAGGCTGAAGGGGTGGAGGCAGCGGGGGGCAAGGATGGGCTGGGGGAAAAGGGGAAAGCAGGGGATTCTGGGAGTGATGCTAAGCAGGGTGAGGCCAGGGAAGCAGGGGATTCTGGGAGTGATGCTAAGCAGGGTGCTGAGGCTGGGGCAGCAGGGGATTCTGGGAGTAATACAAAGGGGGGCATAGAGGCCAATGGAGCAACGGATTCTGGGAGCGATGCTAAGCAGAGCAGTGAGGCCGGGGGAGCAAAGGATTCTGGGAGCGATGCTAAGCAGAGCAGTGAGGCCGGGGGAGCAAAGGATTCTGGGAGCGATGCTAAGCAGAGCAGTGAGGCCGGGGGAGCAAAGGATTCTGGGAGCGATGCTAAGCAGAGCAGTGAGGCCGGGGGAGCAAAGGATTCTGGGAGCGATGCTAAGCAGAGCAGTGAGGCCGGGGGAGCAAAGGATTCTGGGAATGATGCTAAGCAGGGTGGTGAGGCTGGGGATATTGGGGCTGGAGCAGAGGGGCAAGGGGCTGGAGCAGAGGAGAAGGCAGCAGTAGGAGGGGCTGAGCCTGAACCCCAGGAGGGGGCTGCCGGGGCCAAGCCAGAGAGGCAGGTGTCTGAGGAGCAAGGGGCTGGAGCTGAGGGGGCCAGCGGTGCTCTGGCCAGAGAGGTGAGTGTCCCCACAGGGCAAACAGGGCAATGGGGTGGAGGAGAGGAGGGAAGCCCCTCACATCTCCCATGGGGCTAGCGTGCTGGGAAGGTGCTGCGGGTGCCCCCGAGCCCTCCCCGTTGCCCTGGGCCACCAGGGGGTCGGGGACTCATGGGATTTGGTGGGCAGGAGACTGGTCCTAGGGCAATGGGGTGGAGGAGGGAAGGGAAGCCCCTCACATCTCCCATGGGGCTAGCGTGCTGGGAAGGTGCTGCGGGTGCCCCCGAGCCCTCCCCGTTGCCCTGGGCCACCAGGGGGTCGGGGACTCATGGGATTTGGTGGGCAGGGGACTGGTCCTGTTCAAGGGCTTTGTCCCCTCCCAGGGGCACAGTGGGAGCACCTCAAAGGAGCCGCTGTCCCCAGAGACAGGAGGTGAGGAGGAAGAGTGGGGTGAGCCTGCACCCAGCCCCACAGGAGATGCTGCCATCAGGGTGGAGACGGGGGCTCCCCAGCCAGGTAAGGCCAGTGGGATTGGGGAAGGGGAGACTCCAGGGAGGAGACACCCCCACGGCATCCCCACGGCACAGACATACCCTCACAGGGTCATTCCCCAGCAGAGCCCCAACCCCTCATCCAGGATCCCCCCCCAACACTGCCCCCACTCTCCTCAGCCAGGGCCACCCCCCTCTGGCACAGCTCCTGCCCCCTCACACAGGGCCACCCCCCAGCACAGCCCCACCTCAGATATACAGTTGACCCCACTGCAGTCCCTGCTTTTAACATCAGGATTTTGCAAATTCCTTTCAGGAGGCATCTCCCAAGGCCCAGAAGCCCCTCCCGATGGCAGTGCCAGGTAAGAGCAGCCGAGTGGGCACCCAGTGCCAGGATAGGGGACTCCTGCCCCAACACAGCACCCCCTGGTGCCAGGTTGGGGTACAAAGGAAGGCACACAGCCAGGGGTTAATACTCCCTCTCTTCCTGGCCCATTCTCTGATCCATCCCCTCTCTCTTTGCAGCACTGGAGGGGCAGCCCAGCAGGACAGCGGGCCGAGCCCCACACCTGAAGGAGCCCTGCCCCCCAAGGAGAAGCCGAAGAGACCGGCCCTAGATCGGAGGGAGTTGACCCGACCCCGCCTGGCACCCAGGGCCCAATCCCGCAAGGCCATTATGGAAAAATTTGGGGGGTGTGCAATCCTTTATGAAACTGACCAACCTTCCTCCTTCGCACCCGCAGTTACAAATGGGCCAGCCTACAAGAAAGGGCGGAGCTTGGAGGATTATCCCTGGTTGGTCAACCAATGAGGGCCATCCAGGGCCATTAAAGAGCAACATGTCAATAAGGGACATAGAGAGGGACAAGCAGTCATCTGTGGAACTCCCTGCCACTGGATGTTAGGGACAAAGCGCTTGGAGCAGCTAGTGTGACACCAAGGGTACACGGGCGTTAATCCCTTCAGCTCCTGGCCCCATCCAGGTTCAGAGGGCTGGTGGGACAGGGAAGGAAGGCCCCAGGCTGGAGGAGGGAGTGGATGTGGGCACTCGCCACTCCAGCAGAATATGCCTTGTCCCTTCTCTCTGTGACACCGTCCCCTCTATCCCACCCCATGCCCCCTGCAGAGCAGCCAGTGGCCCTGCCCCCAACATCAAGAAGACTGGCGGCGCCAACGCCATCAAGAACATGCTGCTGGAGTGGTGTCGTGCCAAGACACGTGGCTACGAGGTGAGAGGTGGGCGGGGGCGAGGTGGTGCCCAGCCGGCAATTCCCTCCCCTCAGACACACAGAAAGCCTGCGGGGCGGGTAGACGCTAGCCCCCCTCTCTCCACACAATGCCTTTAGAGATTGAGGGGTGCCGGAAGGAAAGGGCAGGGGTCCAAGGGAGCCCACCAGGCTGGGCACACTGCCACCCGGATCTTCCAGGGGGCCAGATGGCACAGGGAGGCAGGCAGGCTAGCAGCTGGGGAGCATTGGGGCAGGTGGCTGGCACATCAGGTTCTACCATTCCCAGGCAAGCGGCTATTGCCTCTCAGTGGTTCGTGCCAACAGCCTGAGGCCCCCTGGCATGGAGAGGACAAGCAGGAGAGCGCCCCTGTGCGCCAGGCAGGCCTCTGCCACGCAGGGCATAGCGCTGTCACCCTGCCACTGTGGAGACGGCCAGAGAACACAGCCGCTGGGCAATGTTCCCTTTAATGTCCCATCCATATGCGGAACTTTTCCATCCATGTGCAGAATAATTTTTCAATGCATTGAGGCACGTGCTACTGTGCACCCCCAACAGAAACACAAACCCAGCTGTGGGCGCTCTGCTAATCAGTTGGGCAGCACTGGAATCTCTCCTGAGCAGCCACACAAGCGCCCGGATTACAGGGAACCCTGCCGCTGGCTTTCTACCCCCGCTTCTCTTCTGAGTGGTGGGAGGAGGGCAGCCCCCACAGACAGGCACCACCAGACCCTGCAGTGCCATGGGGAAGGAAGGCCAGGAAGGTGACCTGCCAGCACATGTGGGGCTGACCGGCTCTCCCTCCCTGTGTCCCTGTCTCACTCCCAGCACGTGGACATCCAAAACTTCTCCTCCAGCTGGAGCAGTGGCTTGGCCTTCTGCGCCCTCATCCACAAGTTCTTCCCGGACGCCTTCGACTATGAGGCCCTCGACCCAGCCAACCGCAGGGAGAACTTTGCCCTGGCCTTTGCCACTGCTGAGTGAGTGTGCTCCCCTCCCCCCACACATCCCTAGGGCGACCAGCCCCACCAAGGGAGGGACCTCTGCCACACAGCTAATTTGGGGCTTGGAGGCAGGGTAGAAATCAGCAGCTGCCCAGCAGGGGGCACTGTGACACCAAGCAGAAGCAGAACCTACACCACTCTCCAGTAGGAGGTGCTGTGACACCAGGGCGTGACAACACCTGCATGGCCCAGCTCTGCCCTCCCTGGTGAGGGAGGAGACTGTACTGCCCAGCCCTCCCCAGCGTGAGGCGCTGTGACATCAGAGAGTGGGAGGAGCCTGCCCAGCCCTGCTCTCCCTGCTGGAATTTCCAGTGAGGCTGGGTGGGATGGGGTGCAGCAGCCCACCCCACCTCAGCTCTGCTATAGGAGGCCCGGCTGGTGCCACACCCAGTAATTCAAGCCCTTAGCTAATTACCCTGTGGCTCCCAGGCACTCTGCCCCTTGTTCCCCACCCCCGGAAGTAGATCTTGAGCCCTTCTCTAGGGCATTAGCTCTGCACTCACCCGCCCTTCACCCCCATCCACTGCCACGACAGGCATCCTGGGCCACTCCCCCATGGACAAGGCACCTTTGCTTGCAGAGAGGCCCTGGCTGGGAGCAGGGGGCCTTTGGGGGGAGGGGGAGAGTCAGTGGGCTGTCTATAGAGCAAACCAGGAGCCCCTGGCTCAGAGCAGAGCCCTTGTCCGGCAGGCAGCACGCCGACTGCGCCCCGCTGCTGGAGGTGGAGGACATGGTGCGCATGAGCGTCCCGGACTCCAAGTGCGTCTACACCTACGTCCAGGAGCTGTACCGCAGCCTGGTGGACAAGGGGCTGGTGAAGACCAAGAAGAAATGAGGCGGGGGCAGGGGCCACCCGAGAAGCAGAGCGCGCCTGACAGCACTGGTGAGGAGGGGCCACCTGGCCGGTCAGCCTGGGATAGGGGGGCCTGGGCCCACAGAGGGGGTGCTGGTGGGGATAGGAGCCCTCATCTTCCCCTCATTGCCCACATGGGAGCCGGAAGCTCCTTGGTGCCATGTCCTCCCAGAGGGGCAGATCGAGCAAGGGCAGGGGTGGTACTGCACCCACCCCTTTCAGAGCCTTCACTGGGGCCCAGCCCCCCAGGACAGCACCACGGCCCCATTCAAACAACTGGGGGGAAGGGCTCTCCAGGAACACACAGACTTAGGCTCCGTAGCTCAGCCAAGGGCTGGGGACCTCCCTGCACTCCTCCCCTCGTGGGCGGTGCATGAACCACCAGCTGGGGTAGACTAGCTCCCAGCCCCACCCCTTCCACCACCGCCTGTGAGAGCCCTGAGCACCCCAGGGCAGCCAGGCTAGCGCCCCCAGCCCCAGCTGCTGCGAGGGAGGGAGGCTGGGGCCACATTGCCGCAGCACACCAGGAGTCAGGCAGCTCAGCTGCAGCCTGGCCGCAGTGGAGGCAGGGAGCCCGAGGGCAGAGCCAGGCCTGGCTGTTTGGGGAGACACACATCAGGGCAGCTCCAGGGGCATCTTCTCTCCCCTGTTGAAGTAAGGCAGGGGAGACGGGTCAGGACAGATTCTTTCCAGTGGAGCCTTTTCCATGGAGACTCCCCTTAAAAACCCGGTTCAGCCTCGTGCCCAGCGAGCGGCCTGCTGCTAGGCAGACCCACTACGGGCAGCATGCCCAGGCCTGGCCCTTGCCCCCTCTCCCAGCCCTGGGTTCCTTGGCTGAGGTTGTCCCAGCTGCTGGAAGGGCAGAGTGAGTGCCCCACAGGTGCCAGCAGGGCCCTTCAAGGCAGGGGTCCCAAAGCCCCCAAGGCAGGGGTCTCAAAGCAAGCCACCCTCCATAACTTGGACATTTGACCCCTGCACTACTCACTTCCCTTCTCCCCACAGGTCTGTGCTGGCACTCCCCCCCCACAGCCTGGCATCTCCTCTGCTGATAACTCCACCCCACCCCAGCCAGCAGGAGCTCTGGCTCAGAGGGCAGGCAAGGTCCTGGCAGATCCAATAAAGCAGAACTGCTCCAAGCACAGGCAGCCACTGGGTGGTTTCTTGGGGGCTCCATCAGCACCAGCCACATTCCTCTGCCAGGGCCTGAGAGGCGGGGGGTGGCTGCAGCCAGCCAGGTGAGATGCCCCTCTGCAGCAGAAGACACCTCTGCAGCTTGGCAGAGCCTTGGCACAGCTCTGCCAACCCTGCAGCAGGTGCTCAGCAGACCAGACCCTTCCCCCTTCCAGCCCTGAACTACTGGCCCCATAGCTCTGGGCTGTCCTCTCATGGCAGAGTCTGGTTAGTGCCAGATCATGGATCCTGCCCCCCGCACTCTCCCTCCGGCTACATCTACACTGTCGCCTTTTTCTGGAAAAGCTCATGCAAATGAAGCGCCAAGTGGAATATTGCCATGCTTCATTTGCATAATTAGCAGCCACTTTTGCACGAGAGCTGTTCTCTTCAGGAAGACTGGCTCTTGCGCAAGAGGGGGTTTTGCGCAAAAAGGAGCCGTCTCCACAGCTCCTTATTGCACAAAAGTGGCTGCTAATTAATTATGCAAATGAAGCGTGCTGATATTCCACTCCGTGCTTCATTTGCATAAGTTTTCGGGAAGAAGGCTACAGGGTAGACGTAGCCACACTGACTCCGGCACCCAGCTACTTCTCCCAGCTGCAGGGCACACGGGTGATCAGGGCTGGTGGGAGCTGGGATCTGGAGACACAGGGTCAGGGCACTAAGCCAACCTGCCTTTAGAACAGGAAGTGGAGTGAACCATACCAAGGGGGGAGGGAGAGGCAGGATGTGATCACCCAAGCTAGCAGGGGCTTGGACACCCGCCTGTGGGATCTTTAATAAGCACACGTGGCCAAAGGTTTTATGTTCCCTGTGAAGGCAGCTCCCAGCACTGTTGGGGGGGAGGGTGATTTGGGGTCACACACAGCTCTGGCAGCTCCAAGGCCTGGCCTTCAACCGGACTGGGGAGAAGGGAAAGGAAGCCTGGGGAGCTGGCTAGGAACAGGACAGGACCCAGGGCCCTCCCCCTCCGGTGCGGAGCTTGGGGCAATAGGACTGGTTCATTCTCGGGAAATCCCACCTCAACAGGGGAGGGTGGGTGTGGATGAGGTGGGGACAGCAGGAAAAAGGAGGAATCTAGAGATATTCAGACGGTCCCTGGGAATGTTGCCCTCCCCCCCCCCCCCCCCCCCCCCCGTCTCGGGCGG